ATGGGCTAAGCACCGGCAAATCTTCCCGTTCCTGACCTGGAGCGGGAACAGTGGAAGTCTGACACATTATACAAGAGGTCGAGACCTGGTAATGGAATGGATGAGGTCACCTAAAGCTCCAGTGGAGGCTGCTTTTTAGGAGGGCAGCTGTTTGGTTGTGTGTTTACGAACAGCTGCAGCAGCTTTGAACGCCTCGCCACAATCTGTTCAATCAGAGGTTTGAATCAGAGCTGCTTTCTCCTGCATCATCGACTCTGCTGCTGAACTCTGAGATTCATCTCTGGACACACGACTCAAACCCGAGCTCTTTTGATTTCAACCGAACTTTTGAATGAGCAAACGTTGATATTATTGACTGATGTTTCATGTCAGGATATCTAATATATATTGACATACACTTGATAACATACACATAATGTCTACAGGGTCGAAGCCTCAGAAACCTCTGCTGGGTCACAGAGGTAGTTATAAGCAGTTAAACAACTTTGGAACCATTTATGATAGAGACAAACTTTAAATAGTCTCTGAACAGTGAGATTTGCAGCACGTGAGTCTGTGTGTGTGTGTGTGTGTGTGTGTGTGTGTGTGTGTGTGTGTGTGTGTGTGTGTGTACGTGTATTATCCAATTGGGCAACCTGCGGTGGACAATATCCACTAAAAGGCTGTATCTCAGGAAAAGGTGTATTTGCACCAAAGCGTCACATGGAGTTATAAAACACCTAAATACAAATTCTTATGGAATTACTCAACAACACAAGTTCTTTTCACTGCGCGTACGGTATGCCAACACAGAGGTAATGCATGACGATAATGGCCGATATTAGGAACCACTGAACTAAACTTCTGAACTGTAATAAGTTATAACTTGCTCCACCTCAACAGTAAAATGATTCAGGGGCATTTTCCTCTGTGATTATGGTTTCTTTAAAGCTGCCAACAGTGGCCATTGCATCACTGTCGTACCCATAACCACAGTAAGTCATTTCTGCCTGGGTATTAGTGATATAATGCATGATCTTCACTGTAACTCCTAAATAACCATGGACTGCATGTGGTCAAGTCCTGTGCCGGGAAGCTGAAACTGATGAGTCACAGAGCCAATCCGCATCGACCCTCTGATACAATCACGTCTCCGTTGCTTGGGACTCGGTGCTGATTTGTGGAGTGCTGGCTGCCTCAACAACAAATAGAAGCTGACTTTAGAAACATGGTTTGTCCACTAAAATAACACCGCAGTGGAAGTAAGAGGAAAGAGAACGTGCAATCTTCCTACAAACTGCTGAGCTCGGTTTTACTCTTTATTTAGTAATATTAAGAGAAGACAGTGGTCTGTTTCACTTCAGTAAAAGTATTATTACAACAGAGAAACAAATGTTTCAAGTAAAAGGCCTGCATTCAAAATCATACTGAATGTATATTAGAGAAGCATTAAAATATACTGCAGCTGGTAAAGGATGAGCTGATGGTAGTTAATTGATATACTGCAGGGTAACTTAACCATCATCATGTAGTATTTGCCTCTGAGATGTAGTGGAGTAGAAGTATAAAGTATCATAAGATGAAAATAGACTTGTACTTCAGTAGAGTACCAGAGTAAATGTACTTAGTTACATTCCACGACTGAGACACGATATAAACAGCCTGATTGTGTGCATCTGCAGCGCTACGACGCTATCCGTGGTGCTGACACGCTCACCGCCTCACCTACAGTCACGGAGCTCGCATTCAGCGAATTTTTGCAACCTGTTGGTCGAAAGCTGAAATGTGAGGCTTTTATTGTGAAACCTTTGGGATAATACTGCAAACAAACATAGTGTAACGACAAACTTCAGCTCTTCATACCAACACCAAATGACCTTTTGAACTTTGTAAACACTTACATAAATGCATCATTTCCCACGCTGAACGGTTCCTACACCTTCCTTTGCTCATCTGGAGTAACCTTCTGCATAATCGGTGCCTCTGGTTGTGAAAAACAGGCTGCATGTGGAGGATTGTACCGTAAGGCTGTTCTGCTGGAGGATCTACATACATTACATACACAGTAATCCACGGGGCACTGGCATGTTTGCTGCAGTTCAACATGCTTCATGTATACACATAAATGATGGGTATCTTTCATTTATGAATATATTATGTTTCTGCGTTTTTCTTTAGTTTTAAGCTAGCTTTAATTTGTCTCTGCTTGTTATATGAATGAAAAAAAAACATTTATGATGTTTTTTAATTCTATGGTTGTTTATCGTTCGTCTTTCTTTACGCATTTTAGCGTTTGAGTTCAGCTTTAGAGTTTTAATGCTTTTTTATTTCTGAAAAACTTTTTATAAATGTACTTAAACTACTTACAGCTTATTATTGACGGGCACCAGACATATTACATGATGGGGTTTAAAAAGCACCACAAAAAGGCACAAATAGTATTTGTTTTGAATTCATTTACAGCATTAAAACATGAATTTGAGTGTTTGGTTTTGAGCACGATTTATTTTCTGTGATAAACGCTGAACATTGTTTGAACAAAACAGACGCATCAACAGCCACTTAGAGTATAAACTAATTACAAGAGTAGGATATCATTCAGTTATTAGAATCAGAATGTCAAAAATGAACTTTCAATCCCAATTATTTTCCTTAAAATGCTCAAAGGAAAGTGAATTTAAACATCTACAACTCCAGCAATCTCCTGAAGAAGATTGTGCGATATGATCAGAAGCCTCGGATCAGCTATTAAAAGTTTCTTTAAAAGTATGTTTTTCATGTTTTCAGATTCAACAAACCACTTTCTGATGAATGCCAACAGCCTTGAAAAGCCACAAACAAGCAGTAGTAAGAATCTAAAAAGGTGATGCACTCATCATAACCTTTCTCTGATTCAAGAAGTATCAGTGTGTGTGTGTGTGTGTGTGTACACCATTAACTCAAACAAAGGAGAAATTAAAAACAATGCTGTCTTTTCTGTCCTACAAATGTCCCTCTCTCCTCTTCTCTTTCTGGCCGGCTGCCATGTGTTTCTGCTCCGCTAGGCGGCAGCATTGGGCCGCTGTCAGAGAACGAGTACGGCACGCTGAAAAGAAGACAAGGAGAGAGAAAGACTTGGAGAAACATCCCAAAGAAGCAGGAATCCTGTTGTGGCTTCTTCTCTTATTCTGCGCTGAAATGAGGGAATAAAGGGAGGAAAGGAAGAGAGACAGGGTGAAGGGGAAGGAGAAAGATAGAGGAGGCGCTGTGGAGATGGGTTATAGTGACAAAAGAGTAGATTTAAAAATGAAAAGAAGGAAAAAACAACAGGTCTGAATGACCTTTCACAGGTGTGTGTGTGTGTGTGTGTGTGTGTGTGTGTGTGCTTTATCTGGGGTCAGGGTCTCCGCCTGCCTCTGTGTAACATAACAGCCGGTAATATCCCTGATCACAGTCAGAGGACCTAATTGAAGCCAGTCATATTCTTTGGAATGGAGGTGGCGCAGCAGCGTGCCGAGGACAGCCCCGACTTCTCCCAGCGCCTGATTGATCAGATAGTTTCTTAGGAAGGAGAGGGACGGGCGAGACGGGGGTCGAAACCTGTCACCTTTCGGGTTAGCGGACTCTTGGGTCAGTCAGTTCGGCTCGCAGGTCGTAAGAGTTTAAGTCGTTTTTTGATTCAGGAGGAAGTAGACAGAGGGGAGTGATGGGAGACAGAGGAGAGGTGGGTGATGGGATGATGTGAACCCACTGACGAGAGAACATCCACAGGGAATTTATGCTTTTTAGATACAAATATAAATATAAAGAGGACACAATGTACAGGTGAGCGGAGGAGGAGACATCTGGGAGAAAGTAAGGAGGGAGGGCGGGATGAAGGATGGAATGAAAGAGGGAAAGAGAGAGAAAGAAAGAAAATAAAATGAAACTGAATGAGCAGGACTCTCCTCTCTGTGTGTCTCTCTCTCCGGTGTGCTTAAGAGTAAAATATGGATAGAATACGGTGATAATCTGTAAATGAAATGACCACTGAAAGGTTACGAATCAACTTTAAACTGTGAGACCAACATTTCCACTCACTCAGACTGATTTTAGCCATTTGGCACAGAATCATTTTGCAATCAAATTATGTTAAGTTTCGGTCCAGAGGTCCGCGGTTCGTGTCCCATGATGCACCGGGAACAAGCACGGAAGAAAACACGTAAGATATTTAACTGGACACGCAGCTTATAAACTACATATGCGCAAAACTCCGTGCGTAAAGGCGCATCGCGGGTCCCTGGCAAATCTGGAGTGATCCTTTTACAGCGGTCACTTTGTTTTTACTATGGAATTTGTTATTGATTCTAATTGAGTCTAATTTACTAGCCGGTAAAAATTGGGTTGCATTAATCCTGATGTGTGCGCAGCGCTGTTTCAGTCTGCAGGTGATTAGTTCAAGAGTGCGCACGTCCTGCACGGAGACAGAAGTCATAAAAGTAACTGCAAAGCCCCGTTTCGCTCCCTCTTGCGCGCTCTCTCTCTCTCTCGTTGGCGCTCTGCCAGCTCCAGCACGCTCCAAGCCTCCTCTCCTCTTGCGCCGCTTGCCGCTCACTTTACACCACCCCTCCTTCTGAAGGGAGAGAGGAAGGGGGTGGGAAGGGAGGAGGGGAGAGAGAGAGAAAGAGAGGGGGGGGTCCTCCAGGAGCTGAAAGAGGTGGAGCAGAGGGGAGGGATGGAGGGAGGAAGGGGGGAGGAGGAGGAGGGGAAAGAGAGGGGAGTCACTCTAGCCGACGCTGGGAGTGGGGTGGGGTTGGAGGGGGGCGACGGGAGCCCTTGGCCGCCTATTCGCCTTCCAGTTGCCTCCGCGCTACATAAACAGTCATTGGTGCCTCTGGTTCGACGCACACACAAACTCTTTACGCACGCATCCACATCCACATCCACACTCACACACACACACTGAGGGTGACTTGTATAGGCAGCCAGCAGAGAGAGAGAGAGAGAGAAAGAGAGAGAGAGAAAGAGAGAGAGAGCGAGAGAGAGAGAGAGAGAGAGAGAGAGAGGAGCGCTCTCAGAAACAGAAAGGTACACAGAAAAGAGAGTGGACGACATAAAGTAAGAGAAGCAGAAGGAGGACGGTGGCTACTGAGAGCATCTCCTGCGCACCTTTTCATTCCTGCACGCTCACGGATCTTAAAAGTCTACACTTTACTTTATCTTCCTCGTGTTTGCTCCCAGAGAGAGATTACAACTTTGGTAAAGAGGCTTTTTTCAAATTTTTTTTTGGAGTTGAGAGAGACGCGATTCCTGGAAGAGTTTTCATCCCCCCCCCCCCCCAAAAAAAACCAAGTCTTTCCATCCCTGAGAAGTTTTAAAAAGTAAAGCCCTTGTTAGTTCCAGGGCTCGGCTTCACTTTTTCCACGTGTCCCGGCTTCTGACATAAACGTGTCACCTTGAGATTTATTTTTTGCTGGCCTTCAAGTTTCAGACTTTAAAAAAAAGAAACGTCCTTTTAAGTCACTGACCCACAAACGAGACCAAAAATGAGATTCCAAACATCAGGACCGTCCCCAGTCTTGTCTGATTGTTGTTCTGAATGCTTACATTAAAGCAGAGTGAGTTCTTTTTTCACTTTACAAGCTGAGGTGTCATACTGAAGATACGGGGAGCCCGGCAGCACTGCTCACCTGTAGCATCTCCTCCGCGCAGCCGACACTTTGATTTGCACTTTTACGCACAGAAACGCCACTTTGTGAATCTTTGTAAGAGGTCCACTCTATCTGAAAGACAGAATCGCACTCCACACAGTTCATTCATTCTGGAAACACAACTGCGTCGGGTCTGGACTGCGTAAAGGGGCATTGCGCTTTTACGCAACAAAAAAAAATCCCAAAAAACTTTTAAAATCATCCGGAGATCGTATACCTATTTTTGTTGCGAATACAGAAGTTCAAATAAAATATAGTGCAACTTTCACCAGCTTTTTTGAAAGTCCTCCAGAGCTCCAGAGAGACCCCCGGGCTCTCCATCACCATGCTGTTCGACACGTTCGACCTCGTCTCGGCTCTGGCCACTCTGGCCGCCTGCCTGGTGTCCATGGCCCTGCTCCTCGCCGTCTCCCAGCAGCTGTGGCAGCTCAGATGGACGGCCACGCGAGATAAAAACTGCAAGCTGCCCATGCCCAAAGGATCCATGGGCTTCCCCTTCATCGGCGAGACCTGCCACTGGCTCCTGCAGGTAAGCGGTGCCCTCGGCGCGGGGAGGGAGGGAGGTGGGCTCGGTGGAGCGCGACACGGTGTCTGGGTTCAGCGCGGGTCCCGGTGTCTTTGCGCGGGGACGGAGTGGGACTTTATCCGTGCGGGATGAAATCAGTCTTATCTACTTCTATATTTCCAGACTTTTTTTCTTATTGCATTTTGCGATCTGAGTTCATTCATCACACTTTTATACTTTTCACCGGGTTTACAGTGCGCGCGCTCCTTTAACGGCTCTCTGTCGGCAATGTGAGGTTACTGATGAGTTAGTCTGCAACGGGGGCAGTGAGATCATCTTGATATCAACCAAGCGAGAGCCTTTTAACCACCAGTATTGCACTTTGTCACAGATTGTTTGCCACATGCGTTTCTTGCGCTCCAGTTTGCGACGCTCACAAAACAAACAACCAGTGCAAACAGAAAAAAAACGTCAATTTGTGCATCATTTTACAGCTTTTATCATTTTGGCGTATTGTTAAATCTACTCAGACTCTATTCTCAGCTAATCTCCATTCACAGTAAAAAGAAGTCTCTTTACATTTCAGCTGGTTCATCCCCATGTTGCGCGCCTGCACACAGAGCGGCTCCAGACCACGCACACACACAGACACACACGAGCGTCAAAGACTTGCACTTCACTTTTGATTAGTTTATAGCGCTGCAATCTCTCTCCCACTCCACGGTGGCTCTCCCTTTATTATCTCAGACGGGAGCGCGTCGGGTCAGCCAGCCGCGCGGCGCGACTTTCCCTGAGCGGAGAGGTGGAGCTGCGGTCCGGCTGATCGATATCTATCAACCGTATCTGATACGCTGGCGACTAGTGGCGGCGGGTGAGTCCGTGTAGAAGTCAAATATAGTGAAGAATATAAAGTTTCGCTGTTAGTTTGAGATTGCAAATGAAAGTTTAATGTTTGACATGAAAATATGACAAGAATGTGATTCCTTTGTGGAAGTTTGTGCAGAGAGAGAGAGAGAGAGAGAGAGAGAGAGAGAGAGAGAGAGAGAGAGAGAGCGACGCTCTGTGGGTAAAAGGGGTTGAGGTGAGGGTAAAGTGCACACCTCGCACTCCCTCTTTTCTTTTCCTTTTCCTCCTCCTCCCCTCTCTCTCTCTCCTCCCCTCGCCGCTAGACCCACGCGCTGCAGCTCCGCTCCCCCGCGGGCTCATCCTGGCTGCATCCGAAAGAAAAGGGGAAAAAAAGTTCCCAGCATGCTGCATGCGTCAGAAATCACTCGGTAACTGAGATTCCTCCTCTTCCAAGTTGATTGACAGGCGTAAAAGTTGCAGAAAAGAGGGAATCCCGTGAAGCGCATGCGTTGATGGGAACCTTGTGGAGCTCTCAGTGAGCGGTGCTGATCGTGTGTTGGTGAGATGCTTTTCCTTTTCGCTTCCAAACTTGAGGAAAGTGAGCTTCTGCACAGCATATGAGGACATATATGTCCTCCTGATCAATAAGGACAATGAAGTCCCACAATCATTGACGTGCACGGGGAACGTTGAATGCGTCTGAGTTGGTGCTTTGCCTTTATGTTCAGAGGAGGAGAAATACATTGTCTATGAGCTGAGCAGAGGAAGTTGACCGCACCGATGTGCACGCGGGTCCCGCTACTAAGCAGCCGTTGTCCGCAAGAACCGATGGCTCATCATGCCGATAGAAAGTGTGTGTGTGTGGGGGGGGGGACAGAAAAAAAGTGGGGGCTCGACGAGCGGAGGCACGTTGGCCGTGCGCGGGGCTTGAACTCGCGGTGCTCCTCTCCGTTACATCTAACACCGAGTGAGACGTGTTCCCGGAATGCAACCGAGGACCACGGCCAAGTTTATGGGGGGGGGGGGGGAATGAAAGGCTGAGTGTGTCTATACTTATGAGGACCAAATGGTGCAACAAGCAGAGCAAAATCTGGAGGAAGGAATCGTTTGCTTCTTTCAGCGGGACGAGGTAATCACCTGATCGTAAAGTTCAGTTTAAGAAGGGAACGCAGCCGAGTCATCATCATCATCATCATCATCATCATCATCATCATCATCATCATCATCATCATCATCATCCGGCGCTGTGGGGAAAGTGAGCCGGACAGAGATCTGATGGGACCTTGTAGCCCAGACGCTGGTTTATGTCTCAGCTACTAGTCTGCTGCTTGATTGGTCACGGAGGCGACATGTGAGACGTGGCCAGAGACGAGTCGTCTCTCTGAGACACTCATGGGGGCTGGTCCACGCCCCCCCCAAAAAGGGCCTGGTCACGGGGCAGTATTTTCTGAAGCAACAGGAACTTTCATTGTGGGGTTTGCATTGGTCAAACACACACACACACACACACACACACACACACACACACACAGTCCCGCTGCCTCATCGTGCGCACCGTTTCATTCATAAAAGAAGGAAGTGTAGATGTGGGAGCATTTTAAAAACGAGGGCGCATTTCACTTTGTTTGATTACATTTCAAGTAAAGTTTAAAAAAGACAAGAGACGAAGAGACGAGAGAGAGAGAGAGAGAGAGAGAGAGAGAGAGAGAGAGAGAGAGATCCAGAAAGATTCAGAAACTTTGTTGTAGCTTTTAAATGAACACGTTGATCCTCTTAGCAAACAGTTGCTTATTTGCACAGCCAGCAGTCATGGAGCAACTTGACCATTGATTTGGAGTCTTTGTGTAAACTTGTAAACGTCTCTTTTAGCTCTGTTTTTGGTCTCCACCAGCTCCTGAGGGGAATGTCCGTCTCTTTATCTGCTAAAGCGACCAGCTAGTCTCCAACGTGAGAGCGGGGGGAGAGAACCCAAGCGGACATCAACAGTGTGTTGTTTTCACAGCGACATTTGACACAATACACAATACAAATGACGGGCAATGATGTTTCCTGGGTTGCAGATCGCATGTGTGAAGGAGTGATGAGTTGTACTGTACGTAGATGCATCAAACCTCTCCGGATAACAATCAATTGGCAACAAAATGCCAAAAACGTATTTTTTTTCTTGCACTTTAAATAAGAATAGGCCATCTCAAGTTTCACATCTTTTCTTTCCTCACATTCTCTTCTGTTCTTTCACTCCTGATGTAGTTTTCACTTAAGGTCTCTTCCAGATTTCCAACACAAACACATGTGTGTGTGTGTGTGTGTGTTATATATATATATGCAGTATATTTCTAACCCGACACGCGCAGCAACAGAAGCACATCTCAGTGACGGATCCATTTTAAAGCGATCTGCAGTTTGAAATAGTTTTACGGTCACTCTGCCAAAGACCTGTCTGCTTTCATCAGGAGCCGGAGCTTTCTGAAGGGACGGTGCCAAGCAGGAGCGCTAGACACACACACGCACACACACACACACACACTACCTACTGAAACACAACCTACATGGTGCAGATTCATGGATACATCGATATAAACACAGTTACGCTTTCCATACAGGTGCACACAAGCGTGTTAACACGCGTCCCGTCAACGTACGTTTAATGACTACAGTCATTGAAGTAAAAAGTGATTTATAAACACAAACATGTTTTGCACGACAGATAGTGATTGCACTATTTTTCGGAGGAACACTGTACGATAAACATGTTTTCGAGTGGTAACCGCGTGCTAACTTGCTCAGGTTTTGCCCTTTGTTTTAGAGGTTGAATTATGTTGCATAAAAGTTACTATTTTTGTTTTTAAAAACTGCCCTCGTGCACAAAATGTGCAGTGTACAAAGTGATTTTGTATTCCCTGCGGCACCAGGGTCAAAACAAACATTGCCACATACAGAAGACATGCTGAAGACTTTTCGGATTTAAAAAGTTGAACTCAAACATCAATATTGAAACTTCTTTGCCTTGAGAAAGTTATGAATCCAAGGTGACACGGAGAGATAACAGCAAACAGCAACACTTGATGTCAAATACACGGTTCTGTGAAATAGCGTAACAGGATCTGAGTGCAGTGAAGTAACGCAGTTACCTCCAGCTGCCACTCAGGGGCACCAAAGTGCAAAGTTCACAGTTTTTATTTATTTATTGATTGTTTCAATCTTACAAACAAATGCATTATGTACAGGTCGCTAATATAATGTTCTAGGATTTCTGGGTAATGAAGTTCCACTTTTAATTGTATTATTTATCCGCACGTCGGGGGCCGCCGAGTTTCCTCGTTTGACGGAATCGATTTTGACGCACAGACTCCACAGTTTCAGATACAGTTTCTCCCTGTCTGGTCCTGATACCTCACACACACACACACAAACGCACACACACACACACTCACACACACACACACACACACACACACACACAGTGGAGACAGGCTGGACTGAATCTGGGTCAGACCAGAGGAAATGAACACATGGCACAGACACTCAGACTGTACAGTGTGTTTGTGTGATTTAAGTTTGTGAATGAGCGTGAGCCAGAAAGAGCAACACACACACACACACACACACACACACACACACACACACACACAATGGATTTCTATGCAGAAGGTGTTATCAGTGATAACTCTTCCTTTATAATTAGTCAAATTTGGCCTTCAGTAGTTGCAGAAATCAGCTCACACGTGTATATACTGTGTACACACACACACACACACACACACACACACACACACACTAATGCGTTGTCCTTCTGTCTACCAGCCTGTCTTCTTGTCTCTGTCTGTTTGGCAGTGATGAAGTGTAAATGATGGTGGGCAGAGTAATAACAGTCCTGCAGACCAAACACTCTCTCATCTCACACAGTGATGACAGCTCTCCCTCTCTCTCTCTCTCTCTCTCTCTCTCTCTCTCCCCCCTTCTTCTTCTACACCTGTTCTGCTTCTTCTGGTAGAACTTTTACAAACCAAATCTCCAGCCTGCTCTCCCCAAATGGTGTATGAATGACACCGAAATGTGTAAGTCATCTACATGAAATAACAATGCATTCATTTTTCCGACGGTCCTCGAACACATTAAATTATGCACTCGGGTGGCATCAGATTTAAATCCTAAAACTAGACTCTTCCCGACCAAAC